TGATTTTCTATGTTTCTAATTCCACTCCAAGCTGAACGTTAAATAAAAGATTTAGGTTCTTTTGTTTCTGTCATGTGTTTTTACCTGTGTGAAATAAAAGCTCCTTTGTTTCCCTTCTCTGAGTAAACTACTTCACTGTATACAGAACTCATTATGTCCAGGCAGTACACTCCTGCAAAATAACCAGATGTTTTAATTTGTCACGCATCTGACGAGCTCTCTGACTAAGACGGACTTCATTTCCCAGACTCCTCTGGGAGATCATGTGACAGCGCAACTTCCCTCTGACTCGGAATCTGAGATGGACTCCACTGCCCATAATACAACGGGGAATCACATGATTCCCCGTTGTATTATGGGCACACCCATCAGAGATCACCGTCTCCCGAATACAAAGTGGTCTCACCTGTGTTTCATTGTCATTTTGAATAGAACAGCTTAGTATGTAAGCCCGGGCTTTAGTTAGCTTCAGTGAGAAGTATTGCTTCCTAGTGAACTTACTTAGTGTTTATTCTGATTGCATTTTCCCGATTTTTGACCATTGCCTTGTTTCCCTGACTTTTTGCTTGACCCTTTCGTACTGTTGCCTTTGATATCAGATCTGTGTTTTTGAACCTTTTTGCCTGCTTTTTCGACCACGTCCTTTGCCTAGCCCTTTTGTTATTGTTCGCCATGGTGTTATGATCACCATTGTGATCCTTCTGTGGTTTTTGGTATTGACCCACGCCTGTTCTGTGACCACGTTTTTGCCTTGTGATAATAAACCCAATCTTTTTACGTTTTATCCGCAAGGGTCTGGATTCTGCTAACTTGTTACAGAATTGCTGTGTATGTATTACTGTATTAAGGCCAGACTGATATCCACACAACCCCAGATTTAGGTCCTTAAGTTTAGGTTATATGGGAAAATGGTGTGTGTGTACAGTGTGTAGACAGATGCACACGTGTTGGCGGGGCCCCCTAAAAAGGCACCAGACACCACAGCACGTGTGTGTTTACAGTCACTGTATGTGTGCACTATTGCAGTGTATATGGATCATTTTACCAATTAGTTCAAAGTTATTTTATTAAAGTAAATGATTGAACATTCCATTTTGTGACTACCCATATAGTAATAACACCTCTAAATGTTTCGGTAGTGACTATTTTATCTAATTTTGAGCAGAACTCAAAAACACATTGCTACGTGACTAGCAAACACAGCTTTGAACGGTTGTAGACATATAATTCTAATAGTTTTCATCAAAACAAAAAGAGGTTTATTTAATTGCAGAAAACGTGTTTCGTAGTGACAATTCGCAATTTTACACAGTGATTTTCAGAAATTTACTTCAAAACAATGAGTTCTGACTGCTCACCATGTGGTCATGAGGGACAGGAATGCAGTCTCACTTCCTGCTCTAAAATGCAGGGGTGTGGCTAAAAAAAGAGTAAAACTCTTTGTGTTTCTGCAGTGACATGAAAAAATGGGGCAGCATTTTTGGAATAAAGTTGTTGTTTTTTTATTTAAAAATGAAATAAATTGAATTATTATCACTTTTAACACAAAATGTAAGAGATTTTTAACAGAATTACCAAAAACACAAATTGTGTTTAATGACATTAAGACATTAAGTTTACTTATATTTTTAATATGAATAATTTACTTGCCGTGTATAATTTAGATACTTTCAATGTCAACCTGGTCAATATCACAAAAGTACTCGAAAATAAAGAAAAAAGAATGAGAAAACATACTTTTCTTCTTCCCATGATCTTCAGGACTTGATGATGTAATGTACTGTTGAGTATGTGAAATGTGGAGTGTTACAGATACTTCATAGGATTAAATGTGTTGAGGTGACAAGGTTGTATGAATGAACTAAAACGTACATGGATGTTTCAAGCATGAGATGTTAAATAGAATTATACATTAATGCAAAAATAATAAAATATCAAGAAAAGGAAAAATGTAGTCATGTTGGGCTGGGTCAGGTAAAAATACTGGGCTGTAGATACAGTCATATGCAAAGGTTTAAACACCACCCGGCAAGTTATTTGTTTTTTTAATTTTCTTACTGAACATATGTTACACATCCTTTACAGTGAACACACAAATAATAAAATTTTATTGCACCGTTTCCATTTATTTCCTAAGTGTAATCTATTGGAGGAAAAAAAACATACAATACAAAATGTGCTATAACTTTTGCACAAGCTTAATTTAGCATTAAAATGTGCAGATGTCTGTTCTCTGTAGAGAACTTCTTTTCACTTCAAAATCAGTTTGACCAGGGCACCCACACTTTTGCATACCACTGTAGGTTTTTTGATGTCTTAAATTATTTACCAGAAACATGCGCATAGGTTGTTGTGAAGGACACTTTAGCTATGCTTAAAATGTCTTACATACAGATTTGTTAATGTAAGAGCAGTGCCCTATGGCTGGAAACCGAATCCACAGAATGAACAGTGGACAAAGAATCTTCAAATACAATACAATCACTGTTCTGAAATGACCGTTTTATTCTGTGAGAACACATTAATCATGTAAATTACAAACACAGAGTATGTAACATTACACAGAGACGTAATTCAGTTTTTCGGTAATGCAGTACTAATTCATTTTTAATGAACTATATAAAAAAAATGTAAATACATTTATTCAGTGTTCACTGTTAAGTAATCCTTGATAAGTTAGTGCTTGTGGATTTCAGTAGGAAATTCCTGCTGTTGCTGTTACTGGATCTGGTTCTCTTGCTGAATCTGGCTAAGAGAATAAATGAGGGCGACTTTGAGACTGTGTTCCTTCCACACCATACATCACAACACAGCTTGCTGACATAAGACGCTAGGCGAGGGAAAAGGGGTCAGTGCCCTGGGAGCCTGCGACATATCTCCTCTTCAACTAAACTCAACATTATGCCTGTGTAAAATGACAACAAATATATGGATCATTCTATTAAACCGGTTCGAAGTCAGAGCTGTTTCGTACTTTTAACTGACTTGGACTTTAGATTAGAATCCTTTTGCTTTGAGTGAATCTATAACTTAATTATGTTTATTGTATTAAAATGATTGAACATTCCATTTTGTCACTACTAAAACAATTGTAACACTATTGAAACTTTACCAAATGTAAAAACACAGCAATGAACAGTTGTGCATGCACAACATCATAATATTTTTCATTAAAATACAAAAAAAAAATTACTTGCAGAAAATAAGTGTTGCAGTACTGACAATTTTAAATGTTACACACTGATTTTCAGACTTTGGAACACATTTACTTCACAATAGTGAGTTCTAAATGCTCACCATGTGGCCATGAGGAACAGGGATGCAGTCTCACGTCCTGCTCTAAAATGCAGGAATTTATTTAAAAACTAAATTCATTATAAATATAATGATCTTTTTTTTTTTTAAAAAAAATGCAAAACAAAAAAAAAAGTATTATTTTATAATACTTATAATTTTTATACTTTTTTATACTTTTTTATACTTTTATAATTTTATATAGTATAACAAATTTAGGGGTTAGGGTTTGGGACAGACACCTCCCTATAGAAAGTACCCTATAAATGACGATTTCGTATATATTTATCTTATTATTATCTCGATTTTTTTACTATGGGACTGCAGTTTGAACTAATTTGGCAGAATGGTCCATAGAGATAGTCAAGTAAGCTTGACCTCTGAAAATGTAGAAATGTACAGCTTTTTCTAATGAGATTAAGTTTTAAAACCTCTCTATTGTGAGCTATCACAATGTGATATTTCCTTTTACAGCACAACACATATACAGTACAACACATATCCAATCCAGTTGTAACCACTGATTTGCGCTGTTTTGCTGAATCTGAAGTAAAAAAAGAACCTCATCACAGCCCTTTCATGTGCTCTGGTATAAAATATAGGCACTTCAGAATTCATCAGCAACAACCAAAAATATACACCATCACATGATTATTGGAAATATTATTGGAAATATATAAATCCTGTGCTATATTTTTGATTCAGGTAAAAAAAAAAAATCTATTAATGTTTAACAGTTATAAATGTAGTCTTAGAGGGAAAAAAAGGAATAAATCTCTTATTCCCTAATGTGATTTGTTGTTACGGAGATTTTAAAAGGAAACTCTACCAATTTTTCCACAGTTCTGCATAATTCAACCCTTGAGATGTAAATAAAGCTGTACAGAGTGTTTTTATGTGAAACTTACCAACTCAGATGTCTTTAATGTGGTGGTGATAGGAACCAGGGGTCGCAATGTGTACAACACAAATAGAACTTTACCAGTGAACCTACACTTTTAAAATCAAGGTGCCAGAAAGGATTCTTTGCATGATGCCAGAGAACATTTTTAGTTCCCTATAGAATGTTTCAATGGATATTTTTAAAAGCCATTTTTGTAAATGAGATGTGTGGCTGTAAAAAAAGCTTTTAAAGAAATTCCACATAACGCAAAGTTCTTTGAAGAACTCTTAAGTGGGTAAATAACTTTTATGTTACGTGAAGATTCTTTAAGCTTTTAAAGAAGTCCTTCACTCTCATAGACCTCTGTTCAACTAAGACTTTTTGGAAACCAAAAGTCATTCTTCTATGGCATCACTCAAAGAATCATTTATATGTTGAAAATGGTACAATAGTGGTAAATCTGAAAAAAAGTTTCTTTGGCCTCACCTGTACCTATTCACTACAAATGTATTTGAAAAGACATTTCAGGCCAATAGCGTATCATAAAATAATTGTCTCAGGCATCAGGCAGCATGTTCATAACCATTTCATGTAATTACTTTGTGTGAGGTAGCTTTTAGAGGCAATTAACCCTTCAGACACCTGGCTCCTGTCACCATCGCTGTGATTGATTCTGGCTACAAGTTTTTCTAGAATGAAGCATTTAACAATCACTTGAATGACCCTTTTTACACATTTTATTATGCAGGAATTTGAGAAAACACTGGAATTCCCCTATATTCATGAGGAATCTGAGAAGTCACTGGCCGTAGAGTGTGCTGTGCTATAGCACTGTGCTAATTGTGCCCGAATTCTTGCTGTCCCTGGGGCTGTTGGGTAGGGCCTTGAGGTACTTTAGATGTCTACGGGCATCCTCCCGGTTTTGCCTCACATAGTACACCACGTAGGCTATCACCATGGTAAACCAGGCAAACATGGTGATGAACATGGCCACATCCGTGGTTTTGCGCTGAAAGCTGCAGAAGTTGACCCCGGAGTCAAGCACCTGGATGACAGACTTGCCTGCGTATTCATCACGCACAGCCGTCTGGCAGTTCACCTGGTTCACTGTGTCGGGATCCAGCTGCAGCTCCCTCAGCACCTCCTGGAGGGTGCATTCACAATGCCAGGGATTTCCGGCCAGGCTGATCTTAGCATGCAGCCGTGCAAAGGTCTCTCTAGGGACCGCTTGCAGCAGGTTGTTTGACAAGTCCAGGGCACGAAGGCCCTCAGACATACCATGGAAAGCACCTTCCTCCACCACCTCAATGGCATTGTTGGAGATATCCAGCTCCTGAAGTCGACGCAAACCCTTGAAGGCCTGGCTGGGGATACGGGTGATACGGTTAGAAGCTAGCTGAAGAGAAACTGTGTCCTCTGGAATGTTAGCCGGAATTTTCTCAAGGTCACGTGATGTGCACTGGACTATCTTGAGTCCATTCCTCTCTGTGCAGTGGCAGTTCTTTGGACAAGTCAGCACAGTGCTAACTGAAAAAACCAAAAGCACAGCCCCCCTTACACTGTTCAGCAGCTTCAGACCCATTTTGCAAACATCTGCAAAACTTCTCAGGTGGTCCACCACTAAGCATTCCAGGCCACAAATACCCACCTGATAACTCAGCTGCATTAATCAATGATGGTCAGAATCTGGGAGGATGATATCCACCCCCACTTCTGCAACTTTTATCTCACAAGCCATCTTCAGTACAATTGAGTTGAGCTTAATCTCTGTGCAGGGAAGGTCTTACTGTGAGCAGAGTAGTCTGCCAACCAATTCTAGGGTCCAGGGATTATTTTATTCAGCTGGAGGTAAATACAGATCCAAATAGCAAAGACCCAGGGGCAAAGACGTTTAGAGGACAAACTGTTATTAACACTCATTTAGTCAAGGCAGGAATCCTATATCCAGACATAGTGAGTATAGGTCTCTCAAAAATGGCAAAGAAGTCTTTAATGTGAGGTAGCTGATATCATTCCATTTAGGTCGTACCATGGTTTAACCCACCTTCCTGGCTGATGAGCTGCAAAGGAATGAGAGATTTAAAAGCAAACTCAATTTAAAGTTAACTCTTTAGACCAAGTCAGAATGTTTGTAAACATAAAGATTGGCTATACGTCTGAGTAGATAACTTGCATCCAGTTAGCATAATATTTACAGTAAATGCAAACAGAACAGATAAAACATTGACAATGGTTGCAATGTCAAATGTACCCAAATACGTAATGGATTCTACTGAAGGTAACCACAATTTAGCAATTAATTTACTCTTTCAGATGAAGATGAAGAGGCCAAGCACTATGATGTGACCAAGAGGTACACCAGAATGTAAAACTGGATGGTATGTTCATGTATCAATTGCTATTTTAAGAATTATTACTTTGTAGAGAATTTGATAAAAGGTGATAAGCTAGTTTAGATGCTAACACTATTAGCATTTATGCTAGCAGCCACAAAACAAGTGTTTTGCTGATATTTGAACTTGACAGCCAAAAATATAAACTTTGCTGCGTTCCACACATCATTCTGTGTGAATGCAGACATTTGTGTGAATGCGCAGAATAGTGCAGCATATTGTTTTATATCAGCCAATAAGATGAGCTGACTAGCAAGCAAACATGGCTAATTAGCCAAATTAGACCCTTTACAGGGGCACAAAATTACCCAAAAGACCATTAAATCATTAATCATGGTTTTCGTAATGGTCCAGCTGTCTCTTGAGCAGGTGGAAAAGTTCTGTTGGTTCATATTTGGGTCAGTTCTTGTTTTTTTGCATTTGCACTGGGAAAACACCTTTATAACGTAAATGCTTCTATATTAAACCCTGCAATGAAGTGGGTGGCTGGTATATGTTCATAATTATATGGCCAAAAAGAAGCACATAAAGTCATGAATTTATTAACCTGGGAAGATCAGCTTAAAAAAGCTTTCTGTTTTATCAATATCTCAGTTACTCTTCAAATTAGTACAAAATCCTGTTGTATCAATGCAGCGCTACCTGTGTCATCCAACTGAAAGCAAGTTCCTATCTGTTGTGACATAACGCTGATTTGCCCAATGGCTGATTCTTTCAAATCTGTATTTCTGGATTGCTTGTACTGTACTGATTTTTCACTATGCATTGAAAAATGCTTTTTTGTCTTGGAAACAACATACTGTCTCAAATTTAGAAGTAGTTTTTCTTCACCAACAACATAGGAAACTTTATATAATGTCGCTATCCAAAAAAAAAAAAAACATGTATCTCCATTTTTGTCGATTTTGATTATTCTACATTATTTCAACACAACAGCTGTCCTTCACATTGTGTGACAATTTCATGATGAATGGACCAAGAAAAATGCTTCAGAAACACTTGTGTAAAACACTAGAATAAATCCTCTTTACATTAACTTATATAAAAGGAAAGAAAAGTAAAGAAAGAGGGCCATGGAGACACATAGCTTTTAATTTAAAGCAAATAAGGAAGTTTTCTTTGTCACTTTGCAACAAATTAGCCTATGGAAGACTATCCAGGTTAATTAGAGGAAAACAATATCACATGTAAAAATATTTATGAGAATATTTATGCCAATAACTAAGTAGAGAATAATGCCATACCCAACACATTGTATTGTTGTCATGTCAGCGCTCATCAGCACTCAAATCGTCAAGGTGTTTGAACCATCTTTAACCCAAATCATTTTCAATATGTGCTTTTAATAATAGCATAAAAAATAAAACTGTCAAATTCTTATTTAGGCAAAACATACTTCATACCAAGGAAGACATTTCAATCAACATGAATCAGCAAAATATATGCAAAGTATTAGTAAATAAAGCAACAGAGGCCATGCTTTACAGTGACTGTATTTTGTTGCCATGCATTACAATGACTATTTTGTTGCTATGTGTTACAGTGATTTTGCCATGGTTAGGGGGCACTGTTGAGCACAACAGCCCTTATTCATCAAAGCTGAGTGGAGAAAGTGAGAAAGTGTATATTTGACCATCACAATGTATGAAGTACACTGCTTCTAATTCAGGTAACTGTTGTTGGATGATGAAATAAGCAGTGACTTGAGTATAACTGATGAATCAGCTTCAGTGTGTGAAAATAAGTGCCCACACACTAGTACCACATTCACATATCATTTGCAATGGACACACCCCAATTTGCTTTCATATACATATAATTTACAGCAAGCATGCCCTAACTCATGCAGATCTTTCAGTAGTGAGCCACTAAAATAAAAGTATTTAGCAGGCTCATGAGCCAGTGACGCGCACTTCTACCAGACGTGAGTTTGATTGTACATATACACAAAAGATGAAACTGATGAATAACGAATCTGCCAGTGAAATTTGTGTGTGCTCATTTTATGATCAGTTATGACCATACGCAACTTTGATAAATAAGGCCCAGTGTGGAGGGGAGTGCCTAAAATCCCTTTAATCATGGTAAAATCACTGCAACAAATGGCAATAAAGTATACCCCTGTAACACACACTGACAAATATACAATATGATAAGATACATCAATGCTTAAGAAATGATTAAGCTTAATAACAAATTTACCAAGCAATGTTCTTGGTTAACAGTAGGCGATGCCAAGCAAAATAAAATAAAAAATTCCATAATTAAACATCACTGTGTTTTTATAGCATTGTGCATATGCAACATTTTAACATGACCATATTATATTACACTAAGTTAGAGAGTGTAAGATCTCACTGATGCATTCTGACTAGATTCTGTTCCATTTACTTTCTATTTAGTGCCCACATACTGATATAAAACTTATCCAAATGATGCTTATTATTGTGTTATTCTAATTTCCTTTTATTTACATTATTTCCTGAGTGGAAAGAAAGCTGATTACTTAACAAGTAAAATGTCATTTTCTATGATAACATATGAACATATGGCTTTTGGATAAGTAATCACTTTATTTTAAATAACATTTTTAATGGGCTATTTAAGATTTAGCCTATATGTAATGTTTTAACTATGAATGAAATACAGTGAAATACTACTTGAATTACATATATACATGTTCCACAAGCTTTGGTCTGAGGTGGCAGCAGTGTCATGGTACATGGTAGGTATGCATAAGTGCAAGGTTGAGTATGAGGTATGAGTTCAATTCTTTCATGGTGCTCCAGAGAAATTGACCTGCAGGCTGTATTAGCACTCCCTCTCACTGCTGCCTGCCACTTTCCCCTTGAATAAACCATACACTAAAAAGGTGTATACCTCAAGTTGCATAATTAGGTACATAAGATTTAAGAAGCATGTACTGTATAGTTTTATACTTTTAGTTTTACCTACTCTAAACAACCTAGTCTAACAAAACAAGACTAGTAATGTGATCAAATGGTAATTAATATCATCAATATGCATTTTTCCTGCAATAACGTATAGCATTACGGGATCTACATATATTATGTAGCCTTTTTTTGAGGGAATACTATAGTGTGAGGGTAACTGTGCATGTGTAATCAGGGGTGAATCACATATCAACCAGGACTGTTTCCTATCTAGCTTTGGGCATGAATATAAAACATTCAAACAGCCACTGAATTCCAGTAAAATATAATCTTTAAAAGCTGCAATAGAACTTTCATGAATGTGACTGCTATAGTTTTCTGTAGTCAAAATACCTCAAATTAACTGATTTATATATCAGTAATTTAACTGAAGTAAGAAGAATGTGCTGTATATGCATTACACAAGCAAATCTCAGTACAACCCCATTTTCAAAGAAGTTGGGACGCTGTACAAAATGTAAATAAAAACTGAGTGCAATTATATGCAAATCATATAAACCCCATATTTAGTTGAGCATAGTACAAAGACAACATATCAAATATAACAATAGCCTTAAAAGTAAAATATAAAAGACATTCCAAAAAAGTTGGAACAGGGGCATGTTTACCACTGTGTCGCCTCAGCTCTTCTTTTAACATCCCTCTTCTTTTAACAACACTGTAAGCGTTTCAGGGTCTCCTTTGTCGTATTTTTCATTTCATGATGTGCCAAATGTTTTCAGCGGTGACAGGTCAGAACTGCAGGCAGGCAAGTTTAGCACCCAGACTCTTTTTCTATGAAGCCATGCTGTTGTAATACATGCAGAATGTGGTTTGACACTGTCTTGCTGAAATAAACAAGACCTTTCCTGAAAATAAATGTCATCTAGATGACAGTGTATGTTGCCAAAATCTGTATAATCATTCAGCCTTATTGGTGCCTTTACAAATGTGCAAGTCACACAAGAATTCTGTTTTTATTTACACTGAATTCTGTTTTTATTACATCTCAACTTTTTTGGAAACGAGGTTGTTGTAACTACAGTCAAATGCAAAAGTTTGAACACCCCTGGTCAAATTATGTTTTGTTGATTTTCTAAGTGAAAATAAGTTAACACATCCTGCACACAAAACACATTTCTGCACATTTTAATAAGAATTATGGTTTATTCCCTGATTTTATCATATTGGGGGAAAAAAAATCAAACATAAAATGTGGCCTGTACAAATGTTATGGTACTTTTTATGTTTTATGT